GGAAAAGAATTTATGTGAAACTTCACTGCAATAATAGTTTCTTCATTATGCTTGTTATCAGATGGATCACGACCTCGCTGGTCATCAGTTATTCTCCCTGAAATATTTAAATTCCTATTTGTAAAAGCCAGTGTAATAAACATATTTGTCTCATTAAATGTGTTATAAAACATTTTTTACAAACTTAAATTCTAGCGGCATTCATCTTTATATGAAAAACATATAGTTTGTCACTTTACAAACTTTTTCTTTATCTAAATGGATCTATCTTTGGGTCTAAAGTCCTTTTTCTATAGTTTTAGGTAGTTCGGAGTCTACAAGGCTAACAATATATGCAACACGTTTGTTGCGATCACCATAGCCCATGCTGTTTAAACTTATTTTTGCTGTTACTTAAATTTTTTAAAGCTTCGATTTATTTTACGTTTCGCTCTTTTTTATTTCGTGAATATACTTTTTTAATGTTGAAATAAATACTGGTATAACCTGATTTTGTGAGCTGATCTTTGCATTTTTCAGACCTAGAATTTTAAACAGATTCTATTTTTTATTTAACAGAACTGCTAGAGTCACTACTATTCGACATATAGTCTTCATTCTTGTCACTATAATCCTCTACATGTCGACATATACTATTAGAGCCAAGAATAGTTCACAAACTCGAACTGTATAAACAGTATAAGATGACATAAACTGTTTTTACCAAATTAAAAGTTCATTTAACTAATAGGTAAAGAAATATTAAATAAGACTTACTCACAATCAATTCAATTTAACTATCAGACGACCGGTTTCGCTTTCTACAATATGCAAAGAATCTTCAGGTCTCGATAAAAAGTTAAATAAATGCTGAAATGATAAAAACTCATATTAGGGTAATGTCTAATAAAGATAAACAAATTAGATGTTGTAAATTACAATAATTATGCCAATATTACATGTCTGTGGTTTTATTTCAAAATGAGTAAGTTGACTAAAAAGGTATAACAAGTTTTAAAAGTTTAAACAGACAAGGTAAGGCCACAAATTGTTATAAAATAGTCTATTAGATTGTAATAAATTAATAAATGAGCAAATAAATAAACATTACTTACATGCCCGTACTCTATTTATTGATGGATGGTAGAACATGGTTGAAACTACTATGTATTGTTGAATGGAAAACTCAATTCTGCTATTGTAGTTGTTTGACAGTAAACGGAAAGTTCTTGAGGAGATAGATTTGATCCAATGAAGCAGAGATATGTGTGTGATTGTTTGTTAAATGAAAGTGATGTTATATACCATTGTATTATTTAAAAGTTATTTATACTTATTCGAGAGATATATTTATGAAATGTGTGTTATTTATTGAGTTATTGTTTTATGAAGGTGACAGTTTAATGAGAATGAATAAGTTTAGATATACAAATTGTGTGGGTTTGCGTCACTTTTTGGTTACAAATCTCACGAGCACATAATCGTCGACGACTGCAGCCCCTGTTGGCCTTTCGATCTCCTCGTTTTTTTCTTGGTGCATTTCATCACAAAATGTCTCGAAATCACAATCAGATTCGTCCTGAAGCTCTAGTTCGTAGTCGGAACTGTCACTATCCAATTCCTTAGCAGAATTTTTCTTATTCTTCGTGGGTGGTGCAGAACATCCAGAACTTTCTCCTATTTCAAAATCTTTCAATCCAATGCTTTTACCCGGTGCGATGTTAATTTTTTTTTTTTTTTCTTTGAGTTCTAGCTCTCTTTTTGTTCCTAATACCCTGTAGAAATTGTAAAACTGTCTCGTTTAAAGTGTTTCCAAAACTTTCATTTGATTCAGTATCATCAGTACCAGGCAATTTCTTTAATATTTGATTTCTGTCTAAAGGGTATATACCCGTTGCCCGAAAGCCACTTTGAAGGTTTTGTTCACCAGTTTCTGCGAATTTTAACATCAGCTTTTTTAAAAGTTTTGGAAACATCTTCTTTGGAAGACCAGTTGATCACGCCAGAGTATTGCACGCCATTGTTTCTTCAGTGGTGCGAACACCGCGATACCCGCGATACACCGCAGGGGTTGAGCGATATGCGTAGTATTCGGCGGTAAACATATGAATCGAATATTATTTTCAAGCGACAGTCTGATAATTTGCTCTGAAAAATGGCTCGCCAAGTTATCCCCGATTAATACTTTGACTCCTTCTTCATGTCTCGTGGAATAAAGGAAAACAGAAGTAAACCAATTTAAAAATGTTGCAGAATCGAACCATTCATGAGCTGTTCGGTTGTATCTGGTTTTATCGGGTCCTCCTTCCGTCCAAGTTGTCCAAAGGTTTTTTGCTTTGTAGACTACATACAGAGGCAGCAGAACTCCTGAAGCGCTTCCACAAAACATCAAATAAATGTTTGATTTTGATTGAGATAATAAACGTTCTGGGTATTTCACCCCTCTTTTAAAAAAGCATCTTGCAGACTCAGGATCATCCGATAAATTTGTCTCATCTAAATTGTATATACAATCGGAGGAAACTCCGTCTAGACATTGCTCAAGGTTATCAACATAAGCAATGAAAACTTCTCTAGTGGAAGATGCTCTATTTGGGTTTATATTTTGAGATTTTCTTACACTTATTTCTCTGTTTCTTTTCAGAAAACCTTTAATCCAGTCGACACCAGGCAAATTATTTTTAAACTGCTTAACTCTCTTACCCATTGTATCCAAATGGCTTTTCATAACATGTCGTAAATCGTCGTGAGTTAAAGCAAAGTCCCATTCAGCGGTTTTTAAAAGTATCTTGACCAGTGCCTTTTCTTCGTCGTTGTTTAAAACTGTGGGCCTTCCGACGTCCTTCATTTTTTTGTTGTTCAGTTTGTGACTTAATGTGGCTTTTGAGGTTTTGTATTTCTTCGACGCCTTGGAAAGTGATAACTGTTTTGTTTTAATTTCGCGGATTGCTTGATCCAAAGTATCAGAGGTGTAATGTTTGTATGATCGACTACCCAACTTTCTAACGTAATCACGCATTTTGGACTAAGATTATCGCACTACACTACCTATTGCACCACAACTGAATTTCCTAACCAAACAATGTTCCTACCGCCAAGCCAACCAATGTTATACTGAGCTCTGGGCTGAGTGAATTTCATTCAAATGATTCAAAACGAAGTAGCGTAACGCCAGACAATAATATTTAGATGGAACTCGATTGACGCCGCCCAAGCACGTTCAATCCTGCCGTTCAATGTTACCCCCTGTTCCCAAAATAATTGACATATTTTTTGTATAAATTAATTAAAAATATTCAAAACCCTAATCATTTACGGTATTACGTAGAATAAGTTAGAAATGGGTACTGGTATCGTGTAAAATTAGTCATGAGAAGATATCTTTTGCATATCGCCGGCTGCAGACCAAAGTTTGAGAGATTTTTTTTACTTCCTTTTATTTCAGAAACCATTTTTTATTTCATTTTTGTTAATTTTGAGAACCTGCCAGAAATTTTATCAGGAAGTCCAAGAAAAACATATTTGCAACCCTCAAAAAAATATATCGGCCCCAAAAAAAAAGTTTAGGCCAACTTGTAGAAAAATATAATCTTCACTGCAAAACTGTTCAATGTAACCCTCGGGTTCAATGTAACCCCGTTTTACGGTGCTTTGATTATGACATATTTTATTAATGTATAAGGTAATTATTTTTTGATAAATGCGTTTTTTGGAGAAGGTTTACCAGGAATGGCTCCCAATTTTCATGGTCAAAAATAACTATAAATGGACAAGGATTTTTTTGGCACAACACCATCACCGAATGGTAAGATTTAGTGTTACCGATATTCTCCTTATTTTTATAGCATTTGTGCAATATACAATATGTAGTTATGCAATAATTGCATAACATCTACATTATTTCAGCGAACCAAAGAGTGAATTTCGGCATTAAAAAATATTGTCACCCAGCGACGTCAGAAAGTAAGACAATTGTAGATATGCCAGAAAACTCTTACAACTGCTTCTTTAGATAGTCATGCAAAAAACCAATAAAACAAGTAAAACCAGAACAATTTGTTGTAAAACTTAACCTATAATGAGTATTTTAGCATTTCCTTTTTCACTATTACGAATAAATCGCTCCCACGTTACTTTCCTGTTTCTTCCTCAAATTTAGGCCGAAAGGATCATTTATTTTGAGCTTTAACTTTTTTTACATTCTTGGCAGAATTTATATAAATCCCTTTTTGATTTACCTACAGTAAATGGTGTGAGTGATAATATTGGTGGTATTTGCTTTGCTTGCACCTTGCAATTTTTTCTTGCAGTGTACCAAGTAAGTTTGTAGCCAAGTAGTCATGTCGATTTACTTATCTGAGGTAAACTTAATGTTATATCCGTCAAAACAATACTAAAGACTAAATTTTTTAACTTTAGCTGCAACTTGCTTACCTTTTCTTATATGTACACTTGTCACATATTCATTACTTCTTCATTGGCCTTGTTTATTTTGTGAATTATTTTTTAAATTCTTTTTGTTTTCACAGTTGTATCATTTATATTTAAAACAGAGTCCAAATTTTACTGTCACCTATTTTGTAGAAAGAACAGAACGTGCTATAACCTCAAACTTTATGAAAACAATACTTTATTTTACTTTGAAGACTATCTACAGCTGTGAGTAAAAAACACTCTGTATTATAATCTTCAAAGAGTTGTACCAACGTCAAAACTTTAGACACTTGCATAACACTTTCACTGTTAAAAAATACAATATGGAATAAAAGAAAATACAATCTCCCAAAAAGGGTTGATTGGTCTATCTGCCCTGTGTACATATATTGCCTCAATAATTAAATATGATAACACTTAACGTAAAATGTAAAATGTAAATGTAAAAAAATATTTATTTTTTATCTACCTATTTATTTTTTGTAAATAAACAGACATAAATGTAAACATTAAAATAACTTTTATTTATTTGTTAAATTTAGATATTCTTGGATAACAAAGTCAACACCAAAATCAACTAATGTGCAATGGATAGTCCCAGCAAGGAGTTGGCAGTATTGAAAAAGAAACGAAAACTCAAAAAGAAGAACTCACGTATTTCTGTTAAAGTGAAGAAAACATTGTCACCTTCCAAAGATGAGCTGCGATACAAACTCGCCAACAAAAGAATTTTTCTTCAACAACAAGAACAAGATTCCAAAGATACAAAATGTATCGATGTAGAAAACGACTATGAAAGAAACTTAAAAAAAGTAAGATGTAGTAGTTTTAAACTCAACAGGAAACCTTTTGCAGATATAAAATCTCCTAAAAAAAGTGTTGTTAAGAAAAATACGGTATCCAAATGTTCTCAATTTATTAAAAAAGATGATTATAGCGATCAAAAACATATCAATGATTTTTCTAGTTTAACCAAAAATAGTGAAAATACTAATCCAGTAGATTCCCAACAAGACGTATTACATCAAACCGAAACACAGCAATCCAGATTGGAAGACATCCCGAGTTTGGAAGAAAATGAAGTTCACGACTCCTTGTCTAAAACTGAGCCTTTAACTGACTGTGCTCCAGAAATTCCCATAAAATCCAATTATATCAAACATCTGCAAGCTGTTCATATCGACGAACAGTTCTCTGTCACGCAAACAATCGCAAGCACTTCAAAATTTGTCAAAAGCATACAACAACAATTATCTCAAATACCCATAAATCAAAGAATTTTACCACCCAAATCAAAGTATATTAGAAAACTACAAGAAAAAACTGTAAGAGAAGTATCTCAGAAGAACATTGACACTGCACAAACAACTGTGAAGGAACAAATACAACCCACAAAACCGGTTTTAACAATTCCTCCTGTAAGTCAGTTAATGGGATATCGTCGGTTTTTTCATCAACAACTAAAGGTTCCTACTGTAGAGCATTTTCCAACAGCAAAAACTAGCACAGCAGCTTCACCCACAAAGCCCTCAAATAAGCCAAAAGAAGAAAACATTTACGAAAATATAAGCATAATCGAGGAGCACCATATTTCAAAAATTAATATTGATATGGTTATTAAAGAAGATGAAAATGGGTCTGGAGAAGTAGTTACTCAGAAGCCCATGGACACTGCACAGAAAACTAGAAAAGAACAAATCCAACCGGTAAAACCAAGTTTAACAATTCCTCCTGTAATGCAGTTAATGGGATATCGTCGATTTTTTCAGCAGCAAAAAGTTCCCACTGTGGAGTCAAGTGCAACACCAAAAACTGAGACAGCAGCTTCACGCACAAAATCCCTAAAAAAGCCAAAAGAAGAAAGAATTTATGAAAATATAAGCATAATCGAAAAGCACAATATCTCAAAAATTAATCTTGATATTGTTATTGAGGAAGATGAAAATGGGTCTGGAGAAGCAGCATCGGAAAATGATATATACCAAAGTATTAACGAGGTTCTCTCTTCTTGTGATAGTGAACCTGTATTCACAGAAACTCAGTTGGAAGAAGGGGTTCAATTACAAGAAAATATTAACAAATCAAATGTTTTAGCTCAACAAGCTTTTTGGAAGGCGTCCATGCATAACCCTATGGAACCGATCATTGAAGAAACAGAAAGCAGTCCAGAATCTTGCACATCAAGCTCTACACCCCCAAAAACTATAAAAAGAGACTTTAGTCAAGAACCTTCAACATCAGGTACTAAGAAGTTTGTTGAAAAACCTTGTATGTACTACGACTTTAAAAAAAGCGGTCGAAATAAATCGACAGGTAGCTACCCCACACGGCGTTTCCAAAGCACAAGGCTTTCTAGCAGTAAATCTAATACAAGTGTGGAATTTGATCTCGATCAACAACTGGAAGCAGCTGTACGAACCATGTCAAAGTTAAACAAGGCTCAAATTAATGCAACTAATCCGTACACCTCCAAACATTTGAAAAAAAAATACGAACCTCCTCCAAAACTTCCAGAACGTATACCAATAGTTGCTAAACCTCTTAGCTCTGATAGTAACAAAAATTCTACTTCTTCGCCTTCGTATCCTTCGTCGATGAGTTCAGGAGAATACCAGGAAATGGATTTTGATGACCAGCCTGAAGACTCAAACCAAAATAGGTCACAGTTTAACTTCAACTGTTATTTTCCGTATTTATTATTAACTCTTGGCTTGTTCGGTTTTTTGGTAGGAGTATATTTTGTAGGGCAAGCCTTATCTACTACTCGGGTAAAATAAAACCGCTTTAGACATGATTAACTGCGTCATATATTACTTAAAGTGAGCAATAGACATACATTCTCATAATGTATTTTCGAGAAAATTTTAAATATTCAAATTTTTAAATACAGTTCTAAAATTTTTCAGCTTGGTAGGCCGGTCTTTTCTTTTAAGATAATATGCAATGTATCATGGATATATCAACAAATCATGTGACTATATAAAAAAACGTAAAATATCGGCATAACAGATGATCATTTTTATGATACTATTTCGCTAGGTAAATTAATTCCAAAATATTCACTCAATTAGTTATTCTACTAGGTAAAAAGTATGTTCCATTTTTTCAAAAGTGGTGGTACATCTAAAAACATCTGTTTGTTTACCTTTAAGCTAAAACCAATTTTTTTTCTTTAGACTTCTGTATAATTGTTTACCATTCCTTAGGAAAATACATATTTTCTTATGTACAAGTGGTGCATATTTTGTATGATTTTATTAACTGAGAGAAATGTCATGGAAGGAAAGATGTATATGTCTACTTACTAAAAAATAGAGCGTTATCGAGTTGACTTTCTGATCTGGTACTAGTTAAAACAATAAAGTGGTAATTAGACATTTTTTATTTGCTCTGAGTTTTGCTCAGAATTTGCTCGGTGTGAATTGTCGGTAAAAATACCAAATGTTCATTACTACTTGCCTTAGAAGTCAGGAATTTTATCAGTATCGAGACCACTTCCTCTTTTTATGCCATTTTCTATTTAGACAAATATGTGGTCAATGTTTTCTGTCCAGACATAAAGGTCCAAATTGTACATTCAATTTTTTTCTGCAATAAAATGCTGGACCACTGCTCAATTTTTGTAAATCGGCAACGCTTGCTATAAATCAAAACATAAAATACTTGTCCTATAATCAGCTTGTGAACTTTCTGTTTCGCTTTTTAATGGAGGCTGCATAGCCTGAGCTTTAGCGTTGTATTAAAATCGATTCTTGTTAACTCTTAATAATTTTCTTTTCTCTTGGTAACTTTAATGGTTTTAATATTTGGGAATTTGAATAATGTGTTTTCTAACACTTGAAAACTGGACATCAGAAGTTTTGTTTGGCCTATTCATGTATTTTTTCCATTTATACTTTTTTAGTACTCTAAATCAATGTATCTTTTTCGGCTCAATGTTATTTAATCTGCCTTTGAAAAGTCTATGAATACTCATAAATTTGGTTTTGACAACCCGTATTCATTGACATTTACTGTGTAGAGTACCTTGCCTGTTCTGTGTAACTTTTGGTGTTACTGTTTGTTTGGATAAGACCTTTTGAAAATATTTATGTATTCAAAGAAGTATTAACTTTGAAGCTCTTTCACTGTACACTTTTTTTTTGTCTAGGCAAACAGATTCCAGTTTTCGGGCTGGTACGGTTTTTTTTGTTTTATCACTGACCTATTCCTGTACAAAATTTCGTTATGCTGTCTTCATCGGCTTGTTGGAGTCTTTTATGGAAATTTGGTTTTACCGCGGGAGCAAAACTTCCATGGCCTAAAAAGCATGTAATAATGTAACAAACCTTCGAACAGTCCATAATAATCTTAGTCTGATAGCAACAGTACAATATGACAAGCCACTTTTATATAAAAAACACTTACCAAAGAATTTTTATGGCTTCAATCGCTCTTACTTAGCGAAATAATGGAGTCACGGTCACTATACTGAAATAATGAATTTGTGGGGTCATGTTACAATCAACGGCTCAAATATTTTCGAGGCTTATTATACCACTATAACGTTATAACTTAAGTATTGCCCATTTTTACAAAAGTTTTGGCATGCCATTGTTTCAAATCGCTTGAAATTTAGTTATGTAATTTTTTATTCTCTTACGTACCAAAAAGCCTACGCCTCTTTTACCTTGGTTATTTGTTGAACTGCATTGGTACAAAGTGTGCCCTGATTTTAGTAGAGTCGTTTCTTCGCCTTTAATCCTTGTCTCGCATAAGCCTAATATTTATGTTTTCATGTCTGACTGATATAAAACCGTTAAATTTAAACACTTAAAATTTTCTCTGAAAATTCGTATTATTTATTGTATTTGGTGTTTTAAAGTACTTTTACGAACATATTTTTGACGTTATAATCATGTTTGACTCATAGTCTGTGCATTATTTAAAATCAATAATCAAATATGTAAATACACCGCACAAAATAATAAACAAATAAATTACAGATTATGATGTTGTTCAGATCTTTTTGTAAAAAAAAACAAAGCTTAATTACATTTTAAGCCTAGTTCTGAAAATGATGATTTCAAAAGCTCTGAATATTGATGAGCAGAAATGTAATGGCAATCCATATAATTTTTGTTTTTATTTCATTGATTACGTAATAGCTAGCTTTTAGAATTTTACTGAAATTGAAAATGTCACCGAAAGATCCAAATATTTTGTATATTGAAACCAATAATGTAACCAAATCATTCCAGATATTTTCATCTTTTTGAGAATTAAACGGTTGTGTTTTTTGTTATATGAAAGCTCGAATGTTTGTTAAGCTAGTTTATTATGTCATGTTTGTAAAGCATATTATGTCAATATGCTAAAAAAATATTATATTTGTGGTTGTTAGAATTTTTATTAATTAATGCACACAATATTTAATTTTTTCTCTTTGGCATGTCTTTGTGTATTTACGCGTAAAGTCAAAAAATGTCATTAGCGATGTTGATTATATTACAGATATTCAATAATATATAATTTGCCAAAAAAACAGTATGTATGTATAAACAGCGTTAACAGCCTTTTAGGCCCATTGCTGAATGGATAATTTGAATCGTTTTCTGTTCTTAGCTATCAGATTCCAATCTCTGATTCCCATCTCTCTGACATCTTCCACCACTACATATCTTTATTTTTTTCTTGGTCTTCCTTTCCTTTTTTTGCCCACAGGTACTCTCCAAGCAATATTCTTGACTAGTCTATTACCTTGCATTTTTTCTAGATGACCGAGCCATTCTAATCTACGTTTTTTCACCACTTTTGTTATTGTAGAAATGGCATACAAAAGGTACAATTCTGCATTAGATCGTCTTCTCCATTCACCCTCTACTACTTTTTCACCAAACATTCTGCGAAGTAGTATCTTTCTTTCCCATGCTTCCAGTGTGTTCTGTATGGTTTTGTTTATAGACCATGTCTTGGCAGCGTATAGCATTGTGGGTCTAATTATAGTTTTGTATACTCTTATTTTTGTATTAAGAGATATATCTTTGTCCTTAATTATTTTGCTCGTGGCTCCAGCACACCTGTTGCTCTTGGTCAGTCGCAGATTGATTTTAGTTTCTTTCATACATGACTGATCAATAAGAGTATCTAAGTACATATATTCATCCACCTTCTCGATTTCTACAACTCTGATCCATCCTCCACCTCCAATTTATAGGATTCCCTGGTGTTTATTCCTTTTTTCTCGAAATCTCCATGTATTTAGATTTATTAATATTAACTTTCAGTCCCATTTTAGAGCTTTCCCGAAATAGTCTTTTTGCTATATTTGCTGCTGTTGTACATTTTGTCCATTATTTCTGGCCTAGTCGCAGTTTTTCGATGTTCTTCACTTTGATCATCTTAGACTATTTCACTGTGACGTTTAAAATCGATATCCCATTAATTTACCACAAAAATTAAATTTGAAAAAAGTCGCTTTCTACGTATAAAAGCCTCAAATTTCCTTTTATCCCAAAGCTAAACTTCCTTTTACGAAGAATTTTATCACAACATGCTATATTTTATTTCTTTTCAAGACCACACGCACCCCAACTGCTTTAAATATCTGCCTATAGTTTACTGACTCCTTGATTGGTTTTAAATTTTACAGGGTCTCCAAAAACCTTAAAACCTATGTACCAACACTAATAACACGAGTTTCAACGTTGAAAGAAAAAATGATGCAAAAGTATGACCTCTTAGTGAGGCTGAGAACTTATTAGACCATCTTAGTAAATGAACGTTTTTTGTAAAGTACATTTACGTGACCCGTACATTGCATGAATTTTATATACACTTAAAATCATATCTTGTTTGATGATAGTGTTAGTGATCAATTTAGAAATTTCTCTAAAGTAAAGTTTAATGTCAACAAAGTGAAAAAAATTTCGTGGTACCACTTTTAGACCTTACTGTATTCTGTATAAGATAATAAGCGAATTTAGCTAATGAAAGACTTCCATACTCTTATTGTATAAAAAAATAGATGATGAATAAATTATATCAATATATCGTTTAGATATACGGTCCTTTTTCTTGTTTTACCACATGGATATGCTACTGTATATATGCTTAGCATAGTAACACCTTTGTTAGCATACGTCTTCACCACAGTCCTGAGGACAACATCGATAATAGTTTTCTGTTGCTAAAGTGAACTTCTTCCTTTACTTGTTGTTTTTTCATTTCTTTGTCTGATAGCCAACGATTTTATTTTACCTTACAGTCACTACACACTGTATATCAATACCACGTTTTGCAAATTCTAACTACAAATTCATACTGTTGAACCAGTTGTCAAAGTACTTTATAATTCTGGTGTTTCGAAGTAATCTCTGATAACCTGAGCACAACATTACTAGCTGAACCAATGTCTATTAAATTATGATGTTCTTTTTCTGTACCAATTTCAAATTGATACAGAGGAATCAGATAAAACAAAAATTTTGTAATTTCATTATTTCTGCTGTTTTTTTGTTGTACTGCTTAAAACTGCTTTTTCCTTTGATGGACACAAGTTGTCATCGATTGATAAAAACTGTTTAACTGTTTACTGTTTTTCAACTGTTTACTTTAGTGATCAACCGTTTCATGTTGTATAATTTATGGTAATCTGGAGACTCTTTAGATGGTTTTTAGAATTGTCATCTATATGTAAATTTATTATACTCTAAAATCGATATAGACTCATTGCCCAATCTACTTCTTTTATTTTCTTCGTTGTCTCGATAATTTATATATTGACATAACATGAAAA